CAGACTTCTTCAATATACAAGTTTTAACTCAAAACCTAAGTGTAAACGTTGGCATAGTATATATACTGTTCCCAATATTGCTATTTATTTTTTTTTGCAGCTCTGATGGTGTTATTTCAGAGCTCTGCAGCTAATTGCAATATTTTATAAAATTCTGCCGCGTTGTTCTCCATGCCCACCCACCCCCCATGGCTATGGGGGCCGCTGAAATGTGTTTCGTCGACAGGCGAGTTATTTCTCTTGCCTAGTCTCTGTATTTCATTATATTTTTTTCCAATTCTTTATCTTCCACTCGTGTTACTGTTATTAGGAGCACCCGTACCAAAAAAAGGCAAGAGATTGCCAGACCCTTTGGAAGGCTCAAAGCCCCGCCCCAGCCAATAAGAACATGGTTTAAATATTTATGACCTGCTGCTAGCCAATGGAGCGGCTGGCCGCCAGCAAAAGAAGCCGAAGCGGCGCTTCCAGCTGCTTTTGAAGCGGGACTTTTCAGAACTTTTCGGCGCTCGGCGGGAGGCGCTGCTTCGCCGGTGCCCGCCCCACGCCCCGCGGCTCCGTCCGGCGAGGAGCGCAGCCTGGCAGGTGATTCCCGTGCCAGGCTGCAGCAGTAGCAGCAGCAGGAGCGGCGTCGGCGTTGGCAACAGCTTCGGGACGGGCGGAGAGTGGCGGTCCAGGGTGCCCTCGCCTGGCAACTCCAGCCCAGAGCCGGCGCCGCGGCTCTCCCGGGTCCTCCATGCGTCGGCAATGGAGCCAGGGACGCCCCTGGGACTCTCTCGCCTCTGCGTCCTGTGGACCGCGGTGCTGGTGGAGCTTTGCCCCCGCGGCGCCCAGGGCAACTGGATGTGAGTAGGCAGATGGGGAAGCGAGGGCCGGGGGGTGGGGTGGGGCGAGCCGGGCGAAGGATCGAGGTGCTCTCGCAAGCCGGGGGGGCTGCGCTGCTTGTCCAAAGCATGTAGGAGGAGTTCTTCTTTTGGATCACAACTCCCAGCATCCCCCACCCGGCATAGCTGGCGGGCGACTCCAAGAGCTGTCTCTCCCCCATCCCCCAGAATAATAATCAGGTGTTTCCAGGGGGTGCTCTAGGCCGATTAGACAAGGGTGTTTTCACACGTGGGTTTTTTGAATCTCCCGGGTCGGTATCATAGTGCCAACGGGCCAGCTGCTTCCTTCTGCATTTCCGTCGCATGGCATCGTAGCAGCGCACCTGCAAGGGTCGTGTCGTTGTTTTGACGGAAGCTCTCCAAGAGGCATTTTAATGCGGAATGAAGTGCTCCGTGTCATCAGCGGCAAGGCCGTTCCGCCTTACAAAGGCCGCACTGTCACCTTGGTAATAGTCAAACCATCCTGTAAATAGTTTGAAGCCTTGACCAGCCTTTGAACCTCTTGGAAAGTCCTCAAGCATCCTTTCCTTTTGAATCCTTCCGATATTCTTGGGAGCAGTTTTAAATCTCATGTGGCAAGTGCCCTAAAAACAGTCTTTGAGTCTCTTTTGCATCACTTCTCAGCACTGTGCAAATGTGTTAATGGATTATGCAACATGGACAAGCCTTTAAGGCCAGAATCGTGTGGATAGTGATAAGGAGGGTAGACCCATCCATTCAGTTGTTAAGTGGTAACTAACTTATGAAAGTACGACTGATTCCATATGTCTACTCTAGTTGGGACTACTCACAGGATTCTGCATCTTCTCCTGTCTGCAATTTCCCATTAGTGGAAAAATCCTATATGGGTTTAGCTGTATGGATGTACAGTAGATGTATTGTCTTACTAATGCTAAATGTGTGAGCATCAGAGCTCTGCCCAGCAGGTATGTCAATGTGGAGGAGGGCATGTCTTTAATTAAATCATTAAACAAAACAAAAAGTTGTTCAGCCTTACAAATGAAAACACCTTCCAGGTGTTAATATTAATAACAATGTTTACAGATAGCAGAAATGGTGGAAGGAGTCACCAATACTTTCTTAAGTGTTGTATGAAAAGAAGACCAAAACTTTGCTGAGAGAGAAAACTATTTAGATCTAATTTTGTTACCTACCCACTTTTGGGAGGCTCAGACACACTTTAAGGCTATTTTATGTGGAGATGCTGTTTTTTTGGACCTGACCCGGTGGGACTTCAGCTGTATTACTCCAAATTAATTATGCCTTTTATTAGTGCAGCTGAAGATGATCAGGGCATTAACAAGAAGGGAAAGCTTCGTCTTCATACCCTTCTGATGACGTAATTATCAGGTACTGAAGGAAACACCAGTTCCTGTGCTATCCATAGTGATACGGGAAGGCCATTTCAGAATGCCTTTTGCATACAGAACCCCTTTTGAAAGGACTCTGGGAACAGTGTGCCTTTAATCTTTCTGCACATAATTCTGTAACCAGGAACCCGCATCTCAGAATCTTGCCTGGAAAGGTCTTGGGGACCACACAATGGCTTAAGATGTGTTGCTACCTGAGGGGCAGAAGTGAATTGCATCATTGGCCCAACTCAAAGTACTGAGACTGGTACTGCTTGTGATTTGTGACCATAATATTGAAAACTAGCCAACTTATTTTGATCCATGAAATTAAAAAAAATCTCATGGCACCTCTTCTCTATCTTGATAACAAATAATAATAATAATAACAACAATAACAAGCAAACTCACTAGCATGTTGTATCCTTTTTGTTACACCAAACATTTACTTTCTGAGGCAAGCGCCCAGGTCTTTCTGATGGCACGACTGGGCCTCGTTATGTCAGAACAGGCCTGGGGGATTTCTAATTGCAAGTGTGTCACTGGCTGCCTTCACCTTGCAGAGCCATCTTTGTACAACCCCACATTCAGCATCTCTTGTTCTTGGACGGGACTGTATTTTTTTTTGCAACCAACAAACAACCCCTCCCACTATGGTGTTTGACTTTACCACATCTGGAGATCAAAAGGGAAGCCACATTGTCATGAAAGAAGAATTAATTTTAATTGTCTGTGGGCATTTTGCAAAAAAAATAAAAAAATAAAAAAGGATTTGAAGCTGGGAGGTGCATGAATCAGAATGCTTGATAGCCATAACTTATATGCTTAATATAGAATGTAATTTCTCATAAATGGGCCAGCCCTCTTTCAGGTTGCTGCTGGCTCAAAGGGACTTGCTGAATCAGCTTGGGCAGGAGACCTGCTCTGCCACACAGAAAGCAAGCACTGCGCCGACTGCGCTCCGCCCCTCCAGACTGTAGTGATTTCATTTCTGGTACTTCCTGTTCTGTCTCCTTAATGGACACATTACTCTGCTGCTGGTGCAGCTTACAGTATTTATTGACAGGTTCCAGAAACATCACAGTCAAGATTAAAAAAGATTTTTCTCCACATCGTTGGTGGTGGAAACGATCACAACCTATCTGCCAGCCTGTGCTTCAGGGCTGTGGATGGATTCTTTGGCTTCCAGATGTTCTGGATTGCAATGCTCATAATCCCTCCTTGCTGGCTGTGCTGGGGGAGGCTGGTGGGGGTTATGGTCTGAAGCATCAACATTTCCTCAGGTCGGATGTGATTATTCCATCAGTGGCAGAGGGGAGTATTTATTTATTTCCATTTTGGTTGAGGAATTCTAGAGATTATAGTCACCCAAAGGAATTTTTCCAAGCTTTGGTGAGGGAACCATCTCTTAATATTCTCCCTAGTGCCTTCTGTGTAACCCTTTGGCCTTTGCATTTTAACAGTGATGGGTTTTCGTATTTCTTATTCCTGGTGCCTGTGCCTTGCTGCCATTTTGTTTCTTGCCCATCTGCCTAAAATGAAGTCTCTGGTACTATTGATCTCAACCCAGGGGCTTCTTTTTCAGGTGGCTGGGCATTGCTTCCTTTGGTGTCCCGGAGAAACTGGGTTGCACCAACCTGCCTCTGAATGGACGCCAAAAAGACCTGTGCAAGAAGAAGCCCTATCTCCTGCCCACCATCCGGGAAGGAGCCCGCTTGGGCATCCAGGAATGCCAAAGCCAATTCAAGCACGAACGGTGGAACTGCCTCCTCTCGCCAGAGACAACATCTTCACTTTCCACCGAACCATCACCTGTTGCAATGGCGTCTTCTTTCTCTGTCTTTGGCTATGAGCTGAGCAGCGGTGGGTCCCCTGTTTTGTTTTGTTTTACATCACTATTGGAGGGTTTTTATTGCTGGGGATTTTAGGTATAAAAGGCTGACTGCCACTCTGTGGTCAAGCAAATCAGCAAATTCTAGGGAAAGAATGGGAACTGCGGCCCTCTGGGTGTTATTGACTTACAGAGTCCACCAGGTCCAGCCAGTATAGCCTATGGTAAAGGGGTAATGGATACTGTAGTCAAGAAAGACCTAGAGGGTCATCCCTGGTCTAGGGCAGTTGTGGGAAATATTTGACCCTCCCAATGTTTTGGATCACAACTCCCATATCTCTTTGCCATCGGCCATGCAAGATGAGTGTCTCAAGAGCTGAAGGGCCATGTTCCCAGTCTCTTTTCTACTTCTAGCGTTGGTGTTGGTGTTAAGCAAGACAGACCAAAGCTGCCCTAAGCTGCGAAAAAGAAAGGGTGATGCTATTTCAGAACCAGATCCATCCAATGCATAAATAGTGTGGTGGTAAATCTCTTTGCTTCAGAAGGGGACTTGGTATGTGGGTTAATGATGGTTTGAAATGTCCTGATGGGCTGCCTCCCTGGATTTATGCAGTCTCAAGATTGGCCCCAGTGTAAACAAATTAGTCCCATCTCAACCCTTTTGGAATCCATGTCAACTCTGTTGTCCCACTGATTACAACTAGATTCCGCTTGGTACTGACCTTCTTAGGAAGGGAACCCAAATGCCTTATCCTGCCAGCTTTATGATCCAGGTTGACCGTTGTGAAAAACGATGCTTGGAAAAACTGATTGCTCTGATTGACCCTCCCTGAATCCATCAAATTGGTCATGCAAGCTCGTGGGATTCTAGTGCTTCTCACCCCAAAAGAGTAACTTTTCTAAGCATGAGTCATTTACAGCAGGGTACATAAGATGTGCTATTGAACACCATTTTTTTCATTCTTCCTTCCTTCCTTCCTTCCTTGCATTCTTTTTTTTAGGCACCAAAGAAACTGCATTTATCTATGCAGTGACAGCAGCTGGCCTTGTGCACTCTGTGACTCGAGCATGTAGTGCTGGGAATATGACTGAATGCTCCTGTGATACCAGCCTGCAGCATGGTGGCTCAGCCAGTGAGGGCTGGCATTGGGGCGGTTGCTCAGATGACATCCAATATGGCATGTGGTTGAGCAGAAAGTTCTTAGATGGTCCTGCCAAGAACATCACCGGAAGACACAGGCATGGATTGATAGCCATGAACGTACATAATAATGAAGCTGGAAGACTGGTATGGATTCCAATTCCCCTTTTGTCCCATAGTTCCATAAATACTGTTGCTAGAGAGTTCAGGGGGAGTGCTTCCAGCCTTTCCCCATTTTCCAGACCTCATGGGACCATACTTTAGGATGTTCTTCTTTGGTTGTAGACACTCAAGGCCACCACAATAGCAGATATGAGGTGGCAGGTATGGGGAGGTAGAAAGAAGAACGCACACAGCCTCTGGACAGCTTGTCCTATTCCCCTAAGCTAGGCTGACGCCCCAAGTATGGTAGAGAATGCTGTATTATTTCCAGCCGTGAAGCTGGCAAGTCCAGTCAACTTCTGTATATACATACAGAAGGCAATAGGCAAATAGGTGCCATCTGGTTCTTCTTTTCAGGCAGCAGAATATCTCCAGGCAGCCCTGGACTGAAAGCACTGGGAATCCCAGGCATGTATGAAACCCATCAAATCACTAATGTGTGGGCAGTGTGTCCCCCCCTTCTGCCCTAATGTGTCCATTTTTCTGTGGAAGACCGCATGGTACCTCTGCCTGTAGCAAATGCTTGACTCACCATATGTAAATGTATGTTATATATTTACAAATGAGCTCTGTAACAAAATACAGTGGTGCCTCGCAAGACTAATGCCTTGCTGGACAAAAAACCCGCAAGACGAAAGCGTTTTGCAATTGTGATGACTCGCAAGACGGCTTTTTCTGTGGCCGTGCTTCGGAAGATGATTTTTTCCCCCGCAAGAGCAATGCCTCGCAAGACTAAAATAATTCATTGTCTTGTGAGGTTTCCCATAGGAATGCATTGCAATGCATTCCTTTTGGAAACCGCTCTTTCGCAAGATGAAAATTTCGCAATATGATGCTACTTGTGGAACAAATTACTTTCGTCTTGCGAGGCACCATTGTATTGCAGTGTGGGATGCTGCTTTTCAGGACTCCAGATGCTCCATTCTTTTCCTATGTTCCATCCATATTTTTTTACCCTCTCAATCTTTCTTGAGTACTCAGTCTTTGTTGGATTATTTTGGGGTGCCATCCTTCCCTTAATTTCGCCCCCCCAACAGATTTTTGATCTTGGTAGAAATCTTGGTAGTCCCTTGAACTTGCTGATAACTTTTTGTTTTGGTTATATAAGCAATTATTACTTCCAGAACAAACAGTGGAAACAGAGGGACTGATCCCCTGATTCCTCCCAGGGAACTCTGGTTATTATGCATCATATATATTCCATTCCCATTTTATCTTCACAACAGCTAACTCTGGAATAAATTCAGTGGTGGGAGAACAATTAGCTCAAGATCATGTTCTGAATATATGATGGGTATGGATCTGAACAGCTGTACATCTCAAGACAGACCACAGTACTACACCACTACAGCTGTTCCCCCAACATCGCAATGCGAAGATCGGTAAGCGAAACGCTTACCGATCGTCGCAAAGTGATTTTTGCCCATTGGAACTATTGGTATGCGATCGCATTAGCGATCCCAAAAGATGGATCACTATGCGAATTCGTTGTTAAACGGTGCGCTCGTTATGCGAGGCACCACTGTATATGATGGGTATGGATCTGAACAGCTGTACATCTCAAGACAGACCACAGTACTACACCACTACATATTTTATTGATTTTCATTTCTATTCTGCCTTTCTCCCAATTGAGAGCACAAAGGTGGCTGACAAGTTCCTAAAAAAAAAATAAACAAACTGACTAGTCTGAACACAGCTGGGATTTCCTGCTAAAGGCAAAATGTCAAAGCTGGGTTTTAGCCAGGATTGGGTAGCCTGTGGTCTTTCATGTGTTGTTTGACCGCAAGCCCCTTCCTCCATCTTTGCTGGCCATTAAGGCTGATGGACATTGAGGTCTGGGGAGCCTTGAGTTTTCTCCTCCTATCCTAAAGGTTAAGGACAAAGCTTTGCAATTTCCCACCCACTACTTGCATAGATGGTAAAGAAGGCCAGAAATCAAGAACCGGAAAGCCTTATTCTTGGGAGTGGAGCTCTGATCAGCACAGGATGACATGTATTGGGTTCAGGTTGCACAAACAAAGAGATATCAGCAGACCCATTTCAAATTTCTGCTGTGGCTTCAAAGGCTTCAGTACAGATTCACAGGAAGGAGTATAATCGGGGATGGGGGGGAGGAATCACATGTTCTTGTTACTCTACCATGGGTACTTGATACTCATTCTGCTTAAGAATCTGAAATAGCATATGCATCTCATTTTAAAGTGTGTCACTAATGACATTTTTCTTCTGATTCTAAAGTGTTTAAAATTAGTTCTAAATGCACAGACCGTTCCAATTTTGTTCACTGTTAATGAACCCTGTAACAGAAGAGGCAAGCGATTGTTCACTTTTGGGCAGAGGGAAGGCTTGTCTCTTTAGCTGCACTGAAAAGAGAAGGCTGAGGTTATGTTGGACATATTGCTCTCTCCCACGGATCTGTGCCCCTTTTTGGATCCAGGACACTGCTTTTTACAAGAAAGGCACGCCATTCTTTGAGGAATGTGCCTAGTAATATCCGTTTTAGCAAGAATAAAGGGTGGACATGGGGGTTGTTTTACTATGGGGTTGATGAGATGTAATCTTTTCTCAGGCTGTAGCAAAATTGATGTCCGTGGATTGCCGTTGTCATGGAGTGTCTGGCTCGTGTGCCCTGAAAACATGCTGGAAATCAATGTCATCTTTTGAGAAGGTTGGCCGTTTACTAAAAGAGAAGTATGAAAACAGCGTTCAGATTTCAGATAGATTGAAGAAAAAGATACGCAGGAAAGAAAAAAGCCAACGAAAGATACCAATCAACAAAGAAGATCTGCTGTATGTCAACAGGTCACCAAATTACTGTGTTGAAGATCACAAACTGGGAGTCCCTGGGACACAGGGCAGGGTATGCAACCGTACTTCAGAGGGACCAGATGGCTGCAATCTCCTCTGTTGTGGCCGAGGATACAACACTCATGTGGTCAGGCATGTAGAGAGGTGTGACTGCAAGTTTGTCTGGTGTTGCTATGTTCGCTGCCGAAGATGTGAGACTATGACTGACGTTCACACTTGCAAATGAAAGCTTCTGCTTCACAACTTAACGGCAAAACATCCTCCAAGGTACCATTCTTTGTGATGTGCTCAGGAGACGTCTCAGGACAAAGAGTGATCCCTGGAGAATTCTGCAGGGTCCAGAAGGTTTGGCTCTTATTTGAAGGGGCATCTTGGAATAAGCAACAGGAAAGATCAAGGAGGAGTGATCTGGATCTGCTGGAAACCTGTGTCACTGGATGACATCTTTAAGAACCTTTGTCCATCGTGAGTGTGTGGGCATTCCCTATTTTGATCAGGGATGCCAAGAGTACTACAGTCACAGTTTGTCTTTTGTTTTTGATGATAATCATCTCCATCAGATTTATCATTTAGAGGGAAAAGAGAAGAAGCAAGTGGTTAAGGTTGAGCAGTAGCATGTTGAAGGACACACAGGTGACTAACTAGCCTAGAATATAAGCCTGGAAATACAAGCCTGGAAGATATAGAAGCAGTGGGGGCAGGCTAACTGATCCTAGTCTTGTTGGGTTGCAGAGATGTTCTATATTTTTTCACTTCTCTCTTCCATTGAGCATCCTTGATTCCTTTTATTTTGAATTCTTCACCCCTTGTTTGACCGTGTTTCTCAAAACACTTCAGTTTTGAGCCAGAGCTTTTTATTTGACGTGGTCAATGTCAAATCCTTTCAGTGTTATCTTCAGATTGTCTTCGGGACCGCAGTGATGTTTTAGCCAATGCTGTGGTCATGGAAAGGAGTGACGTGGTGGCGCTGTGGGCTAAACCACAGAAGCCTCTGTGCTGCAAGGTCAGAAGACCAGCAGTCGTAAAATCGAATCCACATGACGGAGTGAACTCCCGTCGCTTTGTCCCAGGTCCTCGCCAACCTAGCAGTTCGAAAGCATGCAAATGCGAGTAGATAAATAGGTGCCACTACGGTGGGAAGGTAAAACGGCGTTCCCTAGTCACGCTGGCCACGTGGCAACGGAAAACTGTCTTTGGACAAGTTTTATGGCTTGAAATCGGGATGAGCACCGCCCCCTAGAGTTGGACACGACTGGACTAAAAAAAATGTCAAGGGAAACCTTTACCTTTACCTTTTACCTTGTGGTCATGGAAAGCTGGGAAACCTTTACTTTGCTTAATGTATTTAGTGTAAAAAGATTCCCAGTATGACATAAAGTTGCTCCTATGTTTTGGAGGCTGGTGGAAGCAAGTGGCATATAGCCATTTATTCAACAGCTAGTATTTGGGGCAAAGACTGAGATATTCAGCAGCAGGTAGAAGCTATGGCTAATCCCAAGCAGAGTGACAGAGGTGTTGGACAGATTTCTTGGGGTGACTGCAGAACGTGGCTGAGGCATTTGCCTTAAGGTTAAACAACCAATATACCATTTTGCCACTTAACCTCTGTTCTCTGTAGGAATTAAGTGGTTGGCCAACCCAAGGTGACAAGTGATCAGCGGTTGTGGAAGTTTTAGTCTGAAACATTGCTTCTGGGAAACACGGTGTCTTTTCAAGATAGCAGCAGCTATTTTGCTTTGTAAATTGTAGCTACAGAACAGCTTACTTAGCCTCTTCAAGCTGTCAGACCAAGAAAGGCATTGACTGGCCCTATCAAAATCTTTACTACCCCTTCCGCCCCACCCCCAATATTTATTCTGATCAGGTTAATATAAAGTATGACTGTTTTACATCAAGACAGGGCAATGTGTGCCCTTCGGATGTTGGGGCCTAGCTAATGAAGAGGAATGATGGCCATTGTAGTTCAATCATTTCTGCTGGGCTATGTTTTTCCCACCCCTGTTTTATACACTTTTATTTTTCTGAAGGTTGTCAAGCACATGCAATTGTAATAATAATAATTTTAAGAAGCTCTGCAGGAGGTGATCGGATAGATCAAATAAAGTGTGGTTCACTGGCAGATTTATGAATGATTTACCAGGAAGGTAATTTGTGGGTTTGCAAAACTCCTCACAGCAATTTTGAAATGAATTGTATAGGGTTTGTTCAAGTGGGCTGGGCTGTGGTCCTGGGGCTTATTCACAATTACCCGAGTATTAATTCCACAGAGCAACATTGGAGAGGCATCTGAGCCGATACGCATAGCACTTTACTGTTGATGTTTTTGCTTCGATTACACCTTGGGGGGAATTCTCTAAAACTCTGTTGGACTGAACATGATTAGGCCTTAAACTTGGGGACACGGGAGTAAACACGTCAGTCACGCCCTCACCAAGGGCACCATGCCCATCCCCCTCACCCCTGCCAGCATCAGAGAGCTTAATACTGTATGTTGAGTCGGGGGGGGGGCTGTTGAGGGCTCTGTATTTGGCTAAATATAGAGCTTCTGTGCCTGGACGCCCTGCTGAGTTTGGGCTCCTGATCTAATGGGTTCTGTAACCATATATGCTGAACATGGTCACAGAGCCATCTGCATTCCTTCGTGCTCAATGTGCAAAACTTTGATGCTGCAGAAAGCATGACCATTTGGGAACAGAGCTTACTTACGTGCGCGCGCACACACACACACGGACACACACACTTTTGCCAAAGGAAGTCTAAGTTTCTTCCTTTTAAAGAAAAGTTTAAGAATCTAAGAAGGAAAGTAGCCATGCTTGAAGCACAGGATTGTATTGTTTTGAGAGTCCCAACCAAAAGTTTATATTTTGTAAGTGTGTTAAGTTCTGCATTGCACCTCCAGAGTATCGGAATACCTGAACATTATCAGCCTTAATCAGAGCTTGGAAATGGTATCTGGTTTGGACTACATCTCCTAGAATTCTCTTAACCAGCAAGGCCGTTTTAGCTACTGGCCATAGAATTCTGGGAACTACAGTCCCCCCCCCCCCGTCACAAAAAAGACAAACATGTCTAAGCCCTGGCCTGGTTTTCAATATATGGGGAATTACGCAACTCTGCCTGAGGCAGTGATTCCCAACCTTTTTCAAGTCAAGACCCCGTTTATAATAGCCAAGTAACCTGTGACCTCACCACCTCCATATTTGCATAAAAAGGCATTTTAATAGGGTAAAGAAAACACATTAAAATAATAGTTTTCAGAATATAATTCTACCCTAATATATTAATAGTAATAATGATGATACAAACCCTCCTCTCAGAAACCCAGGAAGGTCTAAAGTACCTGATCATGAATCACGAAGAATAAAGTGAGATTTGGCCTCTTTTTGAATATTAAAAAGACCAAACTCATCACAACTGCAAAGAACTGAAACATCAAAATAGTAATTGGTGGAGAGGAGGTTGAATGTGTGGAAGAATGCATCTTTTTAGGTTTGGTCAATCAAAACGGCAATTGCAGCCAAGAAATAAAACGTCAAATCATGCTAGGTCGCACAAGCAATGATGAGTATGAATCAAATATGGAAAAATAAGGATGTGAGCTTGATGCCCAAGTGCAGATTAGTTTGCCCCATCGTGTTCCCCATAACTACATATGGTTGTGAAAATTGGACAACGAAGAAGATGGACAGAAGGAAAACTGAGTCTTTTGAGCTATGGTGTTGGAGGAGGCTGTTACACATTCCCTGGACTGCAAAGATAATGAATAAAGAAGTGACCATCGTGTTCCCCATAACTGCATATGGTTGTGAACGTTGGACAACAAAGAAGATGGACAGAAGGAAAACAGTCTTTTGAGCTATGGTGTTGGAAGAGGTTGTTACATATTCCATGGACTGCAAAGATAATGAATAAAGAAGTGCTGAAGCACATGAAACTGGACATGTCACTAGAAAGCAAAATAACAAAACATAGACTTAGTTATTTCGGACGTGTCATGCGATCAACATCATTGGAGAAAGACATTGTGCTTGGAATGATGACGAGGACACCAAAGAATGCATTGGTTGGATGTAATCAAAACAGACCCTGGCCAAAATGTAAAGCAGGTGAAAGAAGCTGTACAAGATTAAAAAATCGTGGAAACAGCTGGCTCATTAAATCACCAAGGGTTGGATACAACTGAACAGATAATTCGATTGAATATAATAATACATAAATATGGAGGGGCTGCAAATATGCCTCTCCCAAATAAAATTTGAAAATGAAAAAAAACACCAATACACTTAATTTACTTTCTTTGGTGTGTAGAAATGACCCTTCCTTCATGTTTCCTCCCCTCCCAAACCCTCTCAAAAATAACTAAGAACTCTAGCTTGCCTGAAATTCTAGTTCAGATTAAAATTATCTATTTGTGGGCCACAAGGGTTGAAGTAAAACAGCATTGTGGATATCGTATTTCATATAATAAATATAAAAATAATTGCAACTAAAAATATCCCAGCAATCCCCCAGAAAACACTTTGCGGTCCTCTTGGAACATCAAGATACAGTATTTGTTGTTTTCTGCATCTCTCTCTTTGAATACGACCATGTAGTTCAGCACTGCAATTTGGACCTTTTGCAATATGGATGGCCAACTCTGCTCTAATACAGTGGGGTCTTGACTTGAGAACTTAATCCGTATTGGAAGGCAGTTCTCAAGTCAAAATGTTCTCAAGTCAAATCTGCATTTCCCATAGGAATGCATTGAAAACCATTTGATCCGTATCTGCTCTTTTCCGTCCATAGAAACTAATGGGAAGCTGCTATTCTGCCTTCGACCACTAGAGGGGGAAAGAGATGCTTGAATTTTCTTTGTACTGGGAGCACACTTTCTTACAGCACCATCTTACAAAGAAGTAACTCCTATTCAAACCCAGTAAGCTTACTCTGTGGGCCTGGTGTTAAGCCTTAGGCAATGATCCCTATTTCTGGATTGGGGCAAATGAATGAAAAAAAAGCCATATTGAGGCCAAGGAAAAAAATGAGCTGCTTATATATAAAAGAAGCTTCTGCCTGTCTCATTTGATTTTGGTGTGTTTTTTCTTTTTTCTTGGGATGCAGTGGTGGACAATTTGGGTTTGAAACCTGCTTTATAAAGTAGCTTGATTGGGGAAGTGGCTGGCTGGGGGGGGCGAGATGCACACAAAGGCTTACATGTGTATTTGTGCCCATGTGAAAGGTTTTCATCTCTTTCCTGACAGCCATAGAAACACCATGCTTGTGCAGGCAGGCTGTTTTGCTGAATCAAGGCTCTTTCATGGTTGCGTCCCACTGCTTTGAGAATGAAGCTTATTTCCATCTGGTTACGATTGTGCCAAAATGCTACATACATTGCTTCTTAACAATGCTGCCTGGCTTATAACCACTTAGCAGCATTTCCTCAACATCAGCACTATTTATGGGGAGGAGCACAGCCCTGGAATTAGGCAAGTCCTGAGTTCAAAAGCAGAATTTTTATTAGCTCTTTCAGATCTTATTTCCCAACCCACTGTTGTACATAAAAATGAAATGCAATGGGCATGTGGATTTGTTGCCAGTTGTTTTATATCTATATGAGAGCGCTACTGCTTATGAAGATGTGGTCCCATCTACAGTTTTTCTGGTATAAACCCCAGTGAGTTTAGTTGGTGCAGTTTTCTATCAAACACTCACAAAATCTGAGTTTTAGTTCCTCACCTTTTGATCTTATTTTACATATACAGAAGGAAGGCTGAATTATTTCTTAACAAAAGCTTCTGATGCTTAGACAGAAAGCAGCTGTGCTTCAAACATGAGACTGTGAGCCTGCCCACACTAGCATACTGTTATGAAATATACAGTAGTCCCCTGACAGCACAGTTTGGCATGATAAAAAAGACCTTGTCCACTTCTGTTTCTACTTAGAACAATCCATGCTTCCCCTTTAAGAGTTGTCTCACACCAAACTGGCACAGAGCTAGACCAGGCAATCTTTTGGGGATGATTTATTGA